TGCCGTCTTGTGCATGAATAGCTTAAAATCACTTAAATGTTTAAACTGACAAGCCTTAAAACACATGAGAATGATAAACTTTCTTGAGGAAGCAGCAGGCCTGATCGTTCAGATAGTTTTAGGGGGGCTGAGACAACAGATAGGGGTGCTGAAGCCCACCTAAAAAGGGTCTAGAACCGCCCCTGTCGCTATAAGTCAAGTCACCGTTATTTATATAGCGCTTTTAACAACACAGATTGTGTCAAAGCAACTGTACAGCATTAATTAGGAAAATAGTGTCAATAATGCAAAATGATAATAGTAAACACTCTATTGTTTTCAGTTAAAGGCAGTTCATCATTGAATTCTGTGATGTCATCATCCAGTTCAGTTCAGTTTAAATAGTATCTTTGCAATCATTTGCAATCAAGTCTACGATATCGCTGGAAATTAAGTGTCCCCAACTAAGCAAGCCAGAGGCGACAGCGGCAAGGAACCAAAACTCCATTGGTGTCAGAATGGAGAAAAAAACCTTGGGAGAAACCAGGCTCAGTCGGGGGGCCAGTTCTCCTCTGGCTATACAGCATACAACTATACAATTTGCAGAAAGAGAAATTTGAAAACCATCAGAAGAGCGAAAACAAAAAGAATGATTAGATGGAGATAGATGACATAGCAGCATGCAGTAAGAAACATACATATCTGGAAGTTAAGTCTGTAAATTCGAGTGAAATCTGCAATTAAACATATCTTTAATGTGTTTTTTTACTAGTAAAAATGGAATTATAGAGCTCTGTAATTGCATTTTTACTAGTAAGAATTAAATGAAAGAGCTCTCTAATTGGAATTGTTACTAGTAAACACTGAATTAGAGAGCTCTCTAATTGGAATTAATACTAGTAAAAATGTATTTAGAGAGCTCTCTAATTGGAATGGTTACTAGTAAGAATTCAATTGTAGAGCTCTCTAATTGTAATTCTTACTAGTAAAAATTCAATTAAAATGCAATTAAAAATGAATGGAAGTCGATGGAGACATATGACTAGTAAAAATTCATTTGTAGAGCTCTAATTGGAATTGTTACTAGTAGTAACTGAATTAGACTCTAATTGGCATTGTTACTAGTATTAATTTAATTGTAGAGCTCTCTTAATTCAATTTGTACTAGTTAAAATGCAATTACGTCGAGTAACGCTAGGAATACTTTAAGCTAAAACGGCTTTCCATATGTGGAGGTATTTCATAACTTTATTCAGAGTATTTTCATATCTAAAAGATATTATTTAAATAAACTAACCCTTTAACTTAGTCAGGAAAGTTGCTAAGCTCATCTGCCAATGTTTCCTCCACTGAGGATGACCACCACATTCTTGCCATTGATATCTGGTATTTTGTCATTCGTGACAGCAGCGAACGCCGCAGTGCCTGAAGGTTCAAACAACGAGACCAGCCCTATAAAGTGTGGAAACTGCAGATTTGATCTCCTCGTCGGTCACCAGCACAATGTTCTCAACATACTTCTGACACAACTCATATACGCAAAGTATCTGAGGGTGAATCCCAAGAAACGCATTTCAAATAGCACAAATTAAAATCCTGACTCTTAAATAACAAAGCTATAATGAACACTTCCATAAAGTTTTATAGAAAATAGAAAAGTTTTATTCAAAATAGAATTCATACCTGCAAATGGTGGTGCTAGCCCTGAAGCAATGCTTTTAGCATCCATGCCAACAGGCTTCTCTCAATGAATCTCTTGTACATTGTACATGCTGTTGAAAATCAAGAGGGATTATTTAACTTAATGTGCACGTCAGAAAAACAAAAGTGTCATTCACTTGTCATTTAATTAATAGGATACTGAACTTAACCTTAATTTTAATTCAATTTTTAAATGTTTTTTTTCTGTCAGAAAATAATTATTCATCAGTGAGTTAGTTCACATTAATTACCTAGACTTTTGATGGATGGACAAAAAATGAGGAGAAAATATTAAAAATATCTTCATTTGTGTTTTTAAGATTAATTAAAGTCTGATGGGTTTTGAACAACATGAGGCTGAGTTAAAATATGTTTTCACAATCTATGTAATTTTATCTAAAATGATTTGTCTGCACTTTCTGTTTAACCCAGTCATGCAGTGAAATTACATCTTAACAATTATGATTTGATCTGACATCATAATTAAGGGAGTGACACTTTACACAAAATAACCGCATGGTTCAAACAAGTACATTTTAGCTACCATCTTTTATGGTGCAATTATATCAGCTTTGTCAAAATCATTATCTTCCATTACGTATTTTGTTCCTGGCACAAATCGCAAGACAGTGAAGTGTGGTGAAAGTTTAACTATGCTTTTCTTAAATCCCTTAATTTGATAGCTTGAAGGTTCGGTGTTAACCATTTCGGTAGCACCTTACAAGAGAGATCCATTTATTAGTTAACTACGTTAGTTTACGTTAACTAAGATTATACTAAATGCCGTTAAAGTATTGTTCATTGCTAGTTGTTAGTAATTTCAGCATTTTGTTATACATTTTTAAAATCAAATTTGTATTTTTCAAATAACATGAATAAACAATGAACTATTGCTTTTAATAACGAACATCGAAAAAGAATAATGAATGTTGTAAGAAATATATTACTCATTGTTGACAACTGTTAACAAATGAGACCTTACTGTAAAGTGTGATTACTTTTTTAAATAAGTTTTCATGCAAAAATGACAATTTCTTAAGCATTACTCAACACTATCAAACATCATTGTAAAAGAGCATTTTAATTATCATCTCCTTTTGGTTCCACTCCATAGATCTTTGTGTTCTCACAACCAGACAGTTTGATGACTGCTGCCACACCAGCAAGTAACCCCCCTCCACCACAGCAAACAACCACAACATCTGGATAGGGTACAACCTCCAGGATCTCAAAACCTAAGCTACCATTTCAAAAGACAGTGGTACGAGTGAACCAATTATAATACATTCCATTTTTGGTGCATATGTTCATCATGCATTGCCACTGGGGCAGTAGTACCCTTTCAAAAGGCAATGTGTACCTTTAAGGTACTAATATGCATCCTTTAGGGGTAAATAAGGTACAAAAGTCAATTTCAAAGGAATATTTCACCCAACATGAAAATTCTATCATCATTTACCAACCTTCATGATATTAAAATCTGTATGTTTTATATGAGCAAAATCATGCAAAATCACATTCTTCAAAATATCTCCTGTTGTGTTCAACTAAAGTAAAAAAGTCATGCAGGATTGGAACGACATGAGGGTGAATAAATAATGACAGACTTTTCATGCTTTGGGTGAACTGTCCCAGACGTGTATTTAACCTGGCATGTCCAGCGATAAGATCTGGATCATCATAGGAATGTAGGAAAGTCATACTGTCCTCTTGAACACTTCGAGTAACAACGTCCAAAAGAACTATCTGTTTCCTGGTCTTTTGTACACCACAGTCCATAAGACGAGGAGTTGGCGCTCTTTCAACCTCAACTCCCAAACTCTACAAATGTTTGATACCTTTTGTTAAAGATTAAATAAAGAGAAAAGTGTAACCGTATCAGCAAAGTGTAGAAATGAGAGTTTCATACTTGTATCAGAACAGATCTGGAGATAGGGGCCGTTTCTAGCATCACCACTTTGCCTTTACATTCATAATGCTTACATGCATATGCAAATGACTTCCCATAACTCCCAGAAGACATGGTCACAAAATGACCCCCTTTGAGTATCCGGGCAAACTGGTTTGCAACACCTCTTATCTTAAAGGGGTCATATGATGCTGCTAAAAACAAGCATTATTTTGTGTATTTGGTGTAATGAAATGTGTTTATGCAGTTTAAGGTTAAAAAAACACATTATTTTCCACATACTGTACATTATTGTTTCTCCTCTATGCCCCGCCTTTCTGAAACGGTCTGAAAAAGCAAGGTGTGCTCTGATTGGCCAGCTATCCAGTGCGTTATGATTGGCCGAATACCTCAAGCGTGAGACAGAAATGTTACGCCCCTCACATACTGTGATGCCCTGTCCGGCCGGAGCGACGAGACAAAAACATTAAAACCCATTA